AAATGCACATCTTTCTGCAGCATTTCAAAATGTTATTGTTAATTAAAATGAAAATCTTTAACTCATTTTACTTGAAGGACAATTATATCGATGATCGCATCTTTGTTGAAAATTTTTTTGAAATTGAAATTTTTAAATCATTCCTAAAACTTTTTTTTTTCATAAATTTCATCATGTCTTCTTTTCAGGATGTAAGTAACATATATATTGTGTGATACCTGTTGTTTTCAATTTTAGTGTCACTTTTTTTTTTATTGTTATAGTTGTTTTAGGGAAACAATTGTTAGTGTTATCAATAAATTTCCAATAACAAGAACTGATAATTTACATAATTCATTGATAATTTGAATAATTATCAACACATAAATCATGATAATTATCATAATTTTTTTGGAGATTGTATGTGTTATAGTTGCCGTAAAAAAAATTAATTATTTAGTGTTATCAATAAACTACTATCAATGCCAATAACAATTATTTCAATATCAATTGATAATTTCAAGGTAATTAATAATTAGCTAATTGAACGATAATTTTGGTTATTTATTTGTTAGGTGATATGATATATGAACTTGATTTACCGTAAGAAATTAGTGATCTAAAGGAAATATAATAGGAATGTAGTGTAATTGAAAGCTAAGAAGTTTTATCGTTATCAATTTGAAGTAACATTTTGCCCAAATTACACTTTCTCGTTATAATTGATAATTAAAAAGGCTAACATTATAAGGCTTTTTTTTAATTACTATTATTAATTAATCTACTAATAATCATCATCATTAAATTTCTTGATAATTCTCTCATATTTTTATATGTTTCTCAATTTATTAAATTCTCTTAGCTATCCAACAATTATCAATACAATTGAACCGATAAGTTCATTCAACTTCAAACGAAATTTTTGAATTATTTTAATTGCCTCCTTTGACCTCCTAGTAATTACTCATCATATGAATGAATATTAATTTGTTGAAGTGCTTTTTATGATTACTTTTAGATGACGATGTAAAAAAAAAAATATATATAATTTTTCATTTTACATCACCAAACATTTCATCAATCATTATCATTATCATTATCATTTATAGAATGAAGTTAATCACTTCCTAATGATGTGTCGAAATGAAATGCCACCCAAATGTCACCCACTAATTCGATAATCATTTTTTTTTTTCATAAATCATTAATTTCTGAAAAATGCTATAATATTCTTATGGTTATATTCATCAAATGTTTTTTACTTCTAAGAACATACCAACAGATTTCATATACATTTGAATTTCTATGGTACCACAAAAGCATACTGAAAATTGGATTATTATAAAATATCTTCAAACTGATATCATTTCTTCAAAATTCTTATCAAACTGAAGATAAAAAATAAATTATGCCTTAAAAGGTGACAAACGACAATCAACGTAAAACATTTCACCTTTATGGTTATATATATATTTTGGTTGTTAAACTAAACTAACTTTAATTTGCATAAAAATAAGTATTTTCTTCTTTTTTTTCTTCAATTAATTAATGAGTTTACTTATCTCAACGACAAAAATGCTCAACCATTTTCATTCAATGTAAATTCCCAAAAAATAAATAGCCATGTTAAAATCATTCAGTAAGGCAATTTACTTTGCTCAATTCACCTAAATTAAATTTGGAATTTAAAAAAGCATTCCGAAATGTTCCAATTTTTCTTTCTTAATGATTTCCCATTTTTGAAAAACAAAAAACCACTTATTTGTTTGTGTAACTATCCTTTTTTTCTTTTTTTCTTCCTCATAAATTTTCATTTTATTTATGAATAATGAATTTTTATGCCATTAACGGTTAAACCAGCAAATAAGAAATGAAAAAAAAAAAACATATGCTTTGTTGAGTTATTAATTCATTTTGGATTATGTTTTTTTCATTTTTTCTTCAAATTCAAGCTGTTCTTTTGGAATGTAATCATAAATTTTATTAAAATAAGTTTTTTAAATGAATTTAAATGAATTTTACAAATTTAAAATGTTTTCCAAAATTAAAATAGCACCAATTAAATCGATTAAAGAATCAAATTGTTTGCATTTCTTTTTCTTTTTTGCCCGCTTTTTTCAAATTATTTATCCTTAAAAAAAAAAAGGAAATTCTGTCGAATTTTTTACTAAATTTT